GGGGAGCGTTCTGCTTTTGCAGCATGTAATTTGGTAACGGGGTGCCAGCCCCCGGCTGCCGGGAAGGCTTCGCGTCAGCACCCCGTCACATCTCCCCCCACCCCGTTGCCCCCCAGCTACCTGAACCAGCTGGACCGGATCACAGCCCCCGGCTACCTCCCCAACGAGCAGGACGTGCTGCGGTCCCGAGTGAAGACCACGGGGATCATCGAGACCAAGTTCTCCGTCAAAGACCTGAACTTCAGGTGGGTGCAGGGCGCCCCGCGGAGCCCTCCGCGACGCCGGCCCCAGCGGGCAGGGATTTTCACGTCCCACCGCGAGCGGGGATGCTCCGAGGCCGGCGTCGCAGCTGGTGAGAAATCCCCGTGACGCTGTGCACGTGGGTCGTGGGAAATGGGCTGCGCAGGGAAAGCCCGGCCACTCCTGCTGTCTGAGGAGCATTTCCTCCGTCGTTGCACATCTCTTTTGGAGCTGGAGGGAATAAAACCCCAAAGCAACGGAGCTGGGGCCACCTCAAAAGCTGCTGGGGAGGGGACGGGACTATGGCACGGGGTGGACGGTGGGAACAGTCAGAGAGGCACAGAGGAGATGGTGTAGGGGAAATCCTGTAACAGCTCTAGGACAGATCACCTGCACCAAGAGACCCTCTAGCATGCGGTTAAGGATGAACACAGCAAACATCCCCGTGATGCTTTGGGGACCACCAACCCCGTCTGGGTCAGGGGTGATCTATGACCGCTGCAGGCATGATGTGGTCGGGGACAGGGAGACGGTGGCCCCAGTGTTAGCCCATGCAGGGGTGGTGGGACTAGTTGTGTCACTGCACCGTCCCCGTCCCCTCCGCAGGATGTTCGACGTAGGAGGACAGAGATCGGAGCGCAAGAAGTGGATCCACTGCTTCGAAGGGGTGACCTGCATCATCTTCTGCGGGGCGCTGAGCGCCTACGACATGGTGCTGGTGGAGGACGACGAAGTGGTAGGTCACAAGGCAGGAGGTGCCTGGCGAGAGCTTGGCAGCAAAGAGCACGCGTGCCCTGCTCCCCGCCGGCCAGCCCCGCACCGTAACGGGGACATCCCGCAGCGAGCCCAGGGGAGAGGAGCCGGATGCTCCCGGAGGGGAATTAGAGAGGGGGAGCACCAAACGCCCCGCGTCCAGACAGCCGCAAGCAGGACAGGTTCGTTCTCCGGGTGATCCAGCTGGATCGCTTCCACCTTCGTTTTCAGAGGTGCCCATGAACTGCAAGGCAGAGGCGCAAAGGGTGAAGAAGAAAGGGGAAAGGGTCAGGAACGACGGGGCTGAGCCGAGGGCAGGCAGGGCAGCTCTAGCCAGCTCCGTGCAGGAAGCGTATCCACGGCGCTGCGATGAGCCCAAGCCAGGCGAAGCAGCGAGCAAAACGCCGGCCCTTCCAGCACCAAAAGGAAAAGCGGCTCCCAAAGCAACCTCCTCCCAAGAGCCCCCGTCCTACTGCGGAAAACTTCCAGGTGCAGCAAAAGCGCACAAGCAAACCCGAAGGAAGCGGAGCTGCCCCAGGACGGGAGGAAGCAGGGGGGACGGGCGAGCACCACCTGGGAGGCATCTCTGGAAACCGAAGCCCAGCGAGCCAGGGCAGAGGGGCAAAGCAAAGCAGGTTGTCACCCTTTGCACCCGTGTCTGCATTTTGGCCTGACTCCAGGTGCTTCCCACGCAAACCAAAACCTGACCCTGGCAGGGCAACAGGGTCAAACGCACACGATAACCCTGGCAGCTTGGCTCTTCAAGCAGCAACCTCCAGAGGAAGGATCTCAGCACCATCCTGCTCTGGAGAGAGAAACCAGGCTGCTGCCCGCCCAGCGCTGGCGGGAACCCGCGCAGCCCTGGCACGGCGTGGTCAGGTTTAGCCCCAGGCTAGCTCCAGCCACGCGCTCCGGCCAGGATCCGGCTCACGGCCGGTCGGCGCAGGCTGCAGGACCCCGAGCTCCCCGCCCCCGC